TTTGTCCTTTGATACATAATTCATCATTCAGCAACCTTTTTTCCCTTTTTTTTTTGAATTATCATGTATTTTTCGGAGGTTGTTTAAACATATGGATTGACACAGACAAAGAGGTCGCGCCTGGTGTGAGGTTAAGTCTCATGCTATATGACAGGAACAGGATAAGTCTTTTTTTTTTTCCCCTCCACTGTGTTAAGCCAGACCAATGTAAAGCTTCACTCTCCTACGCTGACTGACCGCGATCATTTCTCTGTTTTTGCTTGAATGTGTCTGCTTTCCCTTCAAAGCCTACATGTGCTCAAATGTTTCATCGACTTCTCACTCCTCTAGTGTTTCGGGGTTCATCCTCAGTCAGCTGCCACTCTCCGTCATTAGTTTAAAATGTAGTCGCTTTACAACAGAGCGTACGTGAGTTTCATTAGCAGAAAACAGTGCATCCACTATAAATGATTTAAAAATGCTCATCCAGTATACTTTCTGTCAAATTCAGCTCGTTTCTGTCCATTCTATGTGTGCCCTGAAAAAAAAAATCCAGTGTACACAGAGGTGACTTTGGAAATGTGAAACAAACAAAACAGCTCAGACCGATCCACACAACACAGTTCCAGTGTGTCCTGTTCACATTCATGCTTGTGCACAGGACAGGGTGGAGAGTAGAGGCAGAAGAGGTGGGAAAGCTTTGACAAATTCATATGATCCTGATGATTCTTTCTGTTTTTTTCTTTAATAAAGGGTGTAATTATTACATTTTTTTTAACCAGCCAGGGGGTTTTGATGTTCAGAGGGTTAAATCAAACTTATTGTGGTCATTTTACAATCTTATATTTCACCTTTCCCCTCCCTTATTTCTTAAAAATCTCCATTTAATCCTGAAATACAGCTCAGTAACCCCATTACATTCACAATAATGATCACAGACAGACATGACAGGTAAAAAGGCAACCAGGACTGAAGTCAGAAAAAGCCTAAAAAAGCCAGAATGTCTTGGAAAAACCTTTTAAAGTTGCATCACTCACTGCTTAAGCACTACTAATCTATCAAACCAACCAACCTGTAAAAGATATTAAACATTTCCTCCGGCTCTGCAGCACCTGGAGGCTGCAGCTAGTCTGCTAAGTTTAGCATTAGCGCTCATTAGTTGTTTGATCCGACCCGACAGGAATAAAACCTCAAAACACACACGAGCTAATGTAAGCTGATGCCGTTTTCAGCCAAGGTGAAATTGCAGGATTCCTAGAAACGGTAAAGACAATGTGCTGTAATATACGAACACTTGCTGAATCATATGTCAATTTACAGAATGGGATTATAGAGCAAAAAGGGCTCGAGCATGAAATCACTACCTTTGTGAGCAGAAGTTATATTGCTTGTAAGGCAACACTTCACCCACCTAATATACTCCTGCCGGCCCTTTTTTTAGGAGGAGGTTATTTGGTTCAGATATGTTTGCTGCAGGTTTAGTTAAAGAGCTGCCCGGCCTTTCGCCCCCTGACTGTCTTCCAGCAGCCTTCTCCTTTTAAGTGGTCATGGACTGTTCCAGTGCATATACCACAGTGAAATAGACTTTTGCTCTTTTCTTCATTGTCACAAAAGGCCAGGCACTTCGCTGGAGTTCCCATTCCCCTTTTACATAGTGATAAGACAGCCATTATCCTTTGAACCTTTCTTTTCACCGTGCCAGGAGAAAAGGAAGAGTGAAAGAGAAGGAGGAGGAGGACAGAGAAAGATTTCTTCCCTGAGGTGAGCCTGGCCTCACCTCTGTGTGGCGGGCTTTTTTGTGAGCAGTGAAGAGGTCCTTAACCTTCTATCAGATGGAGGCACACAGTTGTGTTCTGCTTGAATAACTACATTGAAAAGCCCTGAAGCACAGGAGATGGTTCTATAGACTCTGCAAGTGGCATAGAGAGAGAGAGAGAGAGAGAGTGAGAAAGAGTGAGAGTGAGAGTGAGAGGGGGGGGGACTGTATTGTATGACCTGCTGGAGTGTGACCCTCACATGATGTGCACATTCTTTGTTAAAGTGCCCATCAGTGCTTCACTGTGAATCTGTGTTCTTTGTTGGATGGGTCTCGCTGACAGGATGGTCCTTCTCTAATAATGTCACAACAACACAGTTCACACATTTATATAATACACTTCCTTTAATAGACCTCGCTTCATTTTACAAAGTAACAGTCCTCCTGCTCTCCGGCTGTAAATGGCTTTACAGTAGCAATACTATCAATATTAGAGTGCAGATATTTGAATGTCATGTTGCATGAGGGGCTCGTGATGGCTGATGGCTAATGATACCGCGGGGGCTTCTTTCATAATTCAAAGCAGTCAGATATCGTGGAGGCTCATTTTTAAGTTTGATAGCAACTTGAAAGCCAACTGCAAATTAAGCGATTATAGTTGGAAACAAACCTATTTCATCTGAGCGCAGAAGTCATAAATAATAACATCCCATTGTTTTTGGAGGTGCGCTCTATGTTTGTTGAGTAGACTTTGCCAAATTGTTGCTAATCAATATGTGTCATTGTGTTTGAAGGAGGTCCCTCCATTTTTCTCAGCTGAATGTGCTCTGCTAGCCGTTGCGCCTGCACTCCTACTGATGCATGGAGTAGCGGGTCTGTGTGCTGTTTCAGTAATACTGATATTAGATGACAGAAGTCAAATGCTATAAATTTCTGTCTCCCATGTAAATGATCACAGGCTGTCAGCCACGCTTGTCAAATTAAACGTTTACCATAGTTGGTAAACATGCCATTCCATCTTAGCTCCGGAGTGCAGCTTTCACGCTGTCAGACGTGGAGACATAAGAAACCGTTTTCTGCTGTTATGAGCTGAATTCCAGCCACAAAAAAAAAAAAAAAAATGGATCGAATCAAAGTTTTCTCACCTTTAATTTCACAGCAGCGTAATTAACCGGTGGAGGCACAACAATGGACTTATTGTACTGAAGATAAACAACCCTGAAGTTTCTCTGTGTTCTTCAAGCTCAGCCAATGAAATCACAACCCTCCGCGCTACAAATTCCAGTTAGCCCACTTCCTTTCACTTTAATGTGATTTTCATTAGATTGCCTGGCATGAGACAGAGGTTAGGTTGCGTGGCATTATAAATGTCTGTGTATAAAACTCTTGCTGCAGGTGATATTGCTTGGCAGCTGTTTATTTGTACTCCGCTTTAATGTTTTCCCACCACACAGTCATCAGATAGCACATTTTTCAGAGACATTGCAAACTTCATTATTTTTACCGCGTTCTTTTGTGTTTCTCTGCTGTGTCAACAAAGGGAAACAGTTCAGGGAAAATAATAACTTCGTTAGTGATGGTACAAAAGTGCCAGCTACAGTACCACAGTTGTAGCTCTGGGGAATTCATACCCGCACTCAAAAAATTCTATTTTGTTCCGATTTCTGCTGTTAATACTTCACATAGACTGCCTGCCTCACTTTTGTCCTCCTAGTAGGAGCTTCAGTAAACGATGCTTTAGTAATTGACGGTAGAATTCCTGCCAGTTAAAGCAGACAACACCTTTCGCATCGCTCACACAACGCTGCAACAGATATGAAATGCTCCCTTTGTTAACTTAACCTTACTTAACATCCATTGTTGTGCTGCATCTGTGCTGCTAATCTGCAGAACTGCTGCGACTCAGTGTAGGATTTTACGAGGCCCACCTCCGTACCAGCATTCACAGATCAGGCTCTGACTCCTCACCTATTTCAGGTGACGAGTTGTGTTTGTGAGAAGCGACAGCGTCTGCACAAACACGGGCAACCTAAATTTAGTGTATAGGTTATGTAAAATCAGCTATATTTGGTAATTCAGAAATATTTTTGGGAGGCTGCAAATAAAGTGCCTGGGAGCCGCATGTAGCCTGTGAGCCATGCAGTGAGTAACCGGGCCTCTACAAGCTGTGCCAACGTCTTGTGTGCCAAATGTGTGGCAAGAGGGTGGCATGAACAGTGTGCCAGCGCTAGTCTGCCTGGCTGCCAGGCACTTCTCTTTATCCAATCAGACAGTTCGGCTTGAGTGAGACCCCTATTCTTGTCTCTTCCCATCTCCTCCCGAAGCTTTGTAACCTTCCCATGAAAAACACAGATGCATGCTTGTGTTTCTACCCCCCCACCCCACCACCACCACCCTCCACTCCTTCCACTGCCTCCTCGGCACACCGTTACACTTACCTAGAGACCATAACCAGGGGAGTGAATGGTGCAGTGTTCCTCTTTGTTTCTGTCTGCTGCCGCTCTCCTCTGTCTCTTTTTATTTATTTATTTATTTATTTTTTCTTCCCTAAGACAAAATCACAGGCTAAATGAGCATGCCTCAGTCGGTTTTTTAAGCATTTCATCAGAGTTATAGAAAGAAGAGTGTGTCTCTGTTGTTGTTTTTTTCAGGGATGTGTGTAGAAAGAGAGAAAAAAAAAATTGCTGTCTTTCTGTGTGTGGCTTTATTGGACATGATGAAGGATGATATTATGGTGGATGCTGCTGCTGCTGCGGCTGTGAGATGAGGAAGGATCCCATTTGTCTCACGCCCGCTTAGTGTAATGTGTCTATCTGTCACTCTCCCCGAGACCGGACATTGGTGTTCATCAAAATAAACATATTGTCCACACAATCCTCCGTTTTTATTTTTTTTTTCTTCTCCTCCTTCTTCTTCACCGCATGTCATTATTGTTAATTTTCCCTCCTATTGCCACTCTTCCCTTCACATCTTTTGCCTCATTTAATACAGACAATGAGTAACACCGCCGAGGTTGCATAAATTCCTGTATCATCAAAATTACAACCTACAGACGGAAAGAGAAACCTGACAATAATCCTGTGATCACGGAATGATTATGTGGGAGAGAGGTGCTTGGAGAGAAATAAGTGTAAAGCAGCGCGAATATATATTCTAAGAGTAATTACTGTAAGTAGATGAGATGTGATTCAATGGGGAGAAGGGGGATGTGAGGTACTTGCTGGAAAGATTAAGCTAATGTCAGTACTCCTCTTATGTCTTCCAGGTTGATGATGCCATGCTTATGTTTGATAAGACTACTAACAGACATAGAGGTAAGTGTGCAGCTTCTGTTCCCTTTTTCCCCCCCCGTTTTTTTTTTACTCTGTCTTTCTGAAAGGTGAGAAAATAGTCATTTTATGTCCTTTCCCCATGAGATAACACAGAACAGTTCCATTTCACATGATATTAGGTGTACCATCTGTTCAACAATGGGAGCGTGTCAAAGTAATCAATAAGCTGGTACGGTGTTTAGAATGTTTGAGCATTGGCTGGCGTGAGTGTGTGTGAGTGTGTGTGTCTGTGATGATGCTGGTGTGAGTGTTTCAGAGAGGTGCTTAAAGGGTGTAAAGATTGTGAGATGGTGGGTGCTGTGCAGTCAGATAACAGCATCAGATAAGACTCAGGAGAAGCACTGACTTTATCGCTCTATCTCATCAGCTCCTTATCTGAGATGAGGGGACATTTCTCTCTCAAGCAGAGGACTTTCCAAAGACAGGTTTCCTCCCCCTGCACCACAATGCGGTGTCACTGTGTTTAAGCCAAGCGGCACCATTTTTAGGCCCGACTTTAACCACCAGCAAACACACACACGGAGCTGTCACTTACCCAGAACCTCCCCCCCTCCTCTCGTGTGGCGGTTGGTGTTGGCTACGATTGGCTCACACGGGGACAGTAAAGGGAACTTTTAGGAGACTGGCTGTTTTCGGGGTGTACGTATCATTGTGTGCGCGAGCAGTCGACAGGCACTGACAGGTATTTCCACTAGAAAAAGGAGCAGACACTTCTCTGTTCGTCACGCCAGTCAGCTCGCTTGTAGGCAGAGCTGGCACCGCACCATCTCACTGAACTGGGCTGAGGGCTGTTTTGCCATACAGACGTAAATATTTGTTTGCAGTGAGCCACCGAGCGACGCATCTCCTCCTCGAACTGTATAAATGTTTAAGCGCAGTTGACTCGGATCGCGAGTTGCATCGCCTTCTTTTTTTCTGGAGGAAAGTTCTATGGTTCTCTTTCGACTGTATCAGTGTGTGTTTAAGTGTGTGAACTCGCAGCATGTGTGTGTGTGTGTGTGTGTGTGCTGTGCAGACAAACTCTCTGAGTCTGGTAAACAGTTACGAAGTGTGAAACATGTGAACTATAGTGGAAGTGATCTATGGCTTTGAGGGGATTTTGATCTGTAGTGACAGAACCCAGTGTGACGTCTGCTTTGAGACGAAGGCTTTTTCTTTCACTCTCTCTTATTTCTCGCTCTTCTCTCTCCTGTCTGCTGCACCGCCAGCCCTCTGTGAAAGGGGTTGGGCGCCACGCTCGGAGAGTCTGTTAGGCGTTTGCCTTTGGGCTGCAAAATGCCCTTCAAATGAAGACAATGATGGAGAAACAGCCTCCTTGGCAATTTTTCTGATGACAGCGGACATATTTATATTGAGTGTGACACTGAGGCAGGAGGCAGGTGCAGTTTCCTCCCGCGGTTGCCGTTTCGTCTTAACTAGCTTTTTGATATTTTTGTTCCAGTGGGAATTTTGAAAGCGTAGATATTTGACGCTTTTCATCTTTAAAAACACAACAGGTCTTCCAGATGAATTGCACAGAATATTACAGACCCATAAGAAAATCTGAATAATTCATCAGAGCCATTGGTGTGATTGTGTAATATTAATGGCTTAGCTGCCCTGTGACCACAAAGGAAAGGACATTGAATATATTATCAGTGAAAACCAGTGCCTGAGCCCGCTTTACCATTGCCTACAGATTCAATGATAGGCATCTGGCGGCTCACAGTCCAAATCAATTCCCCACCTGTGTTCATTTTCATCTTACAGCTTGATTCATGAAAAAATAATGCCTGAGCTTTCTTCAGCTCTGCCACAGCTAAAAATAACAAAATTCTTTTATTTATTTTTTTAAACAATTGAACTGTTACTCACTGCATTTCGTCTAAAACCATAGTGGTTGTTCAATAACTTGCAAGTCTCCAAAACCATAGTTGTGAGCCTCTAATGTTTTCAAAGTGCAGTGGTGATATTTATAACAAGCGCTACATTTTTTTTTCCTGTTGTCCTGCACACCTGGAATGCTGCAACGCACGGACTGCACTTTACAAGTGTGACGTAACAGAGGCCTAAAATGCCTTTTGTTAAAAAAATAAAATGAAATAGGGAGGGTGGCATTGGGAGCTATTTTTTGCCTGAAACAAAACCGGCATAAAGAAAAAAAAAATAGCAAAATAAAAAAATAAATAAAAAATGCCCCTGCAGTCTGAAAGCCTGTTTATATTTACTTCAACATTTGTGAGGTTATAAAAAATAATACTTCTGTTTTTACAAATAAAAATAAAATGATACCTCACTGCTGTGGTGCACTATGACTTCACATCCCCTTGTTTGAATGTCATCTCTCTCTCTCTTTTTTTTTTTTTTCTCTCCTCAAGCTCTATTTTTTTCCACCTAAAGTCTGTATTGTATATTACTAGAATGCATTGTATTTTGTCTGGAAGAGTTTATAGTGTATGAGATGCATGATCGACACTTGATTGTGAGCGTGTTTTCTTTGGGGCTGTGGTGAATTGGATAGAGGACAAACGTCACACTCCACTAGTAGCAGCATTGTCCTTCAGACGGTCCCTGCGAGCCTGGCGAAACGACAACCAGAGGAGACATTCTCTACCCTTCTCGTTTTCTCTGTACTTTTTTTTTTCTTACTCTCTATCTCTCCCAGTCATTCAGTCTTATTCGTTCTTCCTTTTCTTTTGCACTATTTCTGTCCCCGCACCATCTCCCCACCCTGCCCTGTCTTCGCCATCTCTCTCTCTCTCTCTCTCTCTCTTTTTTTTTCCTCTTGTCTTTCTCTCTCTGTCTCTCCTGCTAGAGGACACTCGCTGTAAGCAAAGCTCCTCACAAAGGCACACGCTGCACACCATCTCCTTGGCATTTAAAGGAGTAGAATACAGCCAATTGTGTTGGAAATTGAACTCTCTAAAGCCTCCCTTCCCACTGCAGCAGTTCATTGTGGGTGAGTTCAGTGTCTTTGGTGAGCGGCTTGGGCTGTCCAGAGGTTGATGCCAGAGGGCGCCTATTGTTCCATGTTCCACTGCAGTGTCCCCACCACTCCGCCTCCCTTCAACCTTCCCTTCTTCTCCTGACATTCGTTTTGTGACAGAAAAAGAGAAAAATCAGGAAGGTGTACATCTGTTAGCGCGCGTTTCACTGGGGTATTTTGTAACTTTTTCTCATTTCTGGGTGGTTTATTCAGCGGCACGGTGGGTCCAGATTACAGTGTCTGCGCTCCAATACGCAGGCTGGGACAAGGCCATGAGCACAGCAGCCACAGACTACACATACCAGTCATCATTCCCAGCACCCTCGACATGACTTCACATGCCACCTCTGGATGACAGGACGAGCTGTACGGGTGGGAAATAAAAGCTTTTGGAATAGCCCTGAGTCAAAATCATTCTGTCATCCTTTACCTACTCCCGTCCCCCAGGCTGACATATGATCTATGATCTAAAATGTGATTTTACTGTCAAACACAATTGGTAGTGCCAAGGAGAGTGTTGCCGAGGTGAGAAAAATGGCATCTCTTAGAGGAGGGGATTGAAACTGTGATGAAAGAGTGGCAAGTATCATTATCCGCCAAAGCATTGGGGTTTAATTTGTGAGTAAAAGATACAGTCGATGATAGATGAATTCTTTGTCTTGCTACTCATACGTGTCCTTTATTAAGTGTTACTCTGCCACGCCATAATTAGCCCTCCTTCTCCACCACATTACCACTCTCTTCATCAACATATCTCGCTGTAGCATGAGACTAATCCACACGGGACCTTTTTCAAGGGGAAATACGTAGCGTGGATGTACGCTTCCACCGCTTTGATTATCCACAAGCAGCTTCTCAGCATCGCGGCTCATGCACACGAATCCAAAAAACGATATACAACGCAAATTAGCACATTGCAATCCCAATGCTAATTTACACTCTTAGAATTATAAGTAGCTGATTAATTGGGTCAAAAGTGCATGTCACAGTGAGTTTGATACCTGAGCGGCAAAGTCTGCGCTGCTACAAACCAGTGCAAGCCCTGCCGGGGTTTTTTTTTTTGGGTTGTGTTTTCTTTTTTTTTTGGACGTTTTAATGCCTTGATTTTATTGTGGCAGTGGAGAGAAAGAGAGGGGTAATGTGTGGAAAGAGAGCAGGGGAATGACTCGCAGCAAATGGTCCTCAGCTGGGAATTGAACCAGGGACTCCTATATGGTATACACACACCACTCAGCTATTGTACCGTGCCAAGTTTTTAGTTTCCAACAAGTTTTTAGCAACTGACTAGAAGTTAAAATATTGCAGGTGGCACCTATATCTATTTTGGGTGATGCACACGTCCTCTCTCACCTTTTTAATTACACCATTAAGAAAGATGATGAAATCCTAGTGTAACTTACTTTCATATTGCTTTACAATAGTCTGTAACCAGACAGCACCCATTAGTGTAGCTTTATAATGACTGTGTGACTGATTGTAAGCCAAATTCCTTCTTTATTTGAATGATGCAAGTAATAGTAATGTGCAACAGTGCTGGGGACCAGAATAAAGAAATGGAGGCTGGATTGTTTTAGTCACAAGGCTGCTTTGTATGAGAGAGCCACTGAGTGAGGCACATATTAGAAGCCATGTTCCTGGAGAAGAAGGGGATTCTTGGTTTTTGTGTGAGGAAAGGGCCAAGACTGTGTGAATTTGTGTATAGCTCTTTTTTTTTTTTTTTTTTTCTATGGGCTTAAAGGGCTGGTTTTCTTCTTGGCAGACGAACAGAAGACTGCATTGTGTGTGTCTGTAATCTCTTTACCTGGATTGGCAGCAAAGCTAGCAAGTGCAGCTCCCAGTGTGGAATTGGCACTGAGGAGTCAATGTCACACTGAGCGAACTGCCTTCCAAACAACCAAAAACTGGTTGTGTCTCTGTGAGACTGTGTGTGTGTGGATGACAGCATAGACTTTCTTTTTTTTTTTTTCTCCCTTCAATTTGTGTTTCTTTGTACTTTTCACAGGTGATTTTTACAGCC